TCGATCATTGTGATGATAGGTTCCCTCTTACTCCCTGCCCACCCCCACCCCATCCTTACCCTTCTAGTAGCACTGCTCCCCTTATTGGTCCTGGTGGGCTAATCTGTTCTGGATTCTCTGTGTTTCGAGCTCTTATCTGTACCAGTTTACATGTTCTGGTCTAGTCAGATTGGTAAAATAGGATTGGGGTCACGGTAGTAGGGGGACGGAAGCATTAAAGAACTAGAGGAAGGTTGTGTGTTTCACTGGTGCTGTACTGTACGCTGACTGGCTCTTCTCTTCCTTGTGGCCGTTTTGACAGGGGGTGTCCAATTGACTACTGATGGGCTTTGGGTCTTCACTCTGCTCTCCCCCTCATTCCCATCCATACGCTTTTGGTGTGTTTTGATTTGGGTCTTTGATGCCTGATACCTGATCCCATCGACACCTCATGATCACACAGGCTGGTGTGATTCTTCCACGTGGGCTTTGTTGCTTCTTACCTAGATGGCTGCTCAGTTATCTTCAAACCTTTAAGACCCCAGACGCTATATTTTTTTATAGCTGGGCACCATCAGCTTTCTTAACCACATTTGCTTATACACCCATTGTGTCTTCAGCGATTGTGACAGGGAAGGTGAATATCACAGAATGCCGTGTTAGAACAAATTGTTCTTGCATTAAGGGAGTACTTGAGTGGAGGCCCAATGTCCACCTGCTACTGTAATACTTTATAAATAATTATGTACATAGCTCTATTCTTCTGTCATTGTATATAAATGTATTTACATATATACATGCCTGTATTTATACCTCTATAACTCCTTTGCCTCCCAATTCTTTCCTATATTTCTCCCATCCCACTATCATGTTTGGCCTTCATTCAGGTTTTGGTAATTCCTCTTGGCTACATTGCCCTTGTTCAAGCCCCAACTCCTCCACAAGCATTCTGTGCCCCGCTCGCCATCAATTTTAGATCACTTATTCTTCCCTTGTCCCTGGATTTGTTGGAACCCCTCTTCTTTTCCTCCATCTCTCCTTCTCCGGTGTTCCCCCCGCCCCCGGAACCATCTGGTCCCAGTGTTCTCTCCTCTGGATTGTTCATCCTGCCTATCTTGTCCAAATAGACATACATAGACAATAATACACCCAAAAACAAAGCAGAGGAAAACATAACCAGAAGACAAAAAATAAATCAACAACAGCTAATACAATAAAAGAGAAAAAGAAAAACCAACAGCAAATATGACAAGCCCTCAAACAGTTCCAGGCCTGTCTGTTGCCCTTTATGAATGTTTTCCAGTCGAGTCCACTGAGTGCCACTTCCCTGGCTAGGGAAGGTTTTTTTGTCAGCTCTTTGGAAGATTTATCATGATACTGCCCACCCCCAATGAAACTGGCCATTGTGTATTCCTGACTCATGAACTCCTGAAAGGGCAGTCATTATTGTTGCTTTCTTCTCTTCCATTAAATTGATGTGTATAAAACTTCTTATATGAATTAAGTGGCTGGTAAAATTACAGAATTGTCTTTGTAAACCAAAGATTTAAGGAGTCCAATGATACATTAAGGATCCCTGGTAGCACAGTGGGTTAAGGGTTAGGTTGTCAATGGAAACATTGGCAGTTCAGATCCACCAGCCACTCAACTGGATAAGGAAGAAATGGATTACTCCAGCAAAGATTTGTAGTCTCAGAACCCACAGGGCAGTTCTCTGCTTGCCGTGCTGGTGACACACTGGTTAAG